AAATATGCCCGAAAGTAATCTAAAGTAGAGTGCCATATATAAAATTAACAGATCGCGCTTTCTATGTAAATTTGATATATGACGACGGGAAGCTGATATATCATTTTCTATGCATATTCATACGCGAATTCATACGTGTCCCGAGTATTTGTTTTATGAGGGCACCCGCGACTCCGTTACTCTTCCTATTTTGCGAATTTATAAACGTTCAAAACTCTCCGCTCGGTTCAGGCTCGTTTTATCACGCACCGTGACTTTCTATTCCTTTTGTCTTCGTTTTGGTGGATTTTGAAATATTTCAGAAATTTTTTAGACTCATTTATTCCGCGAACGTTGCACGATTGATTTATCGACGGTGATAATTAAAAGCGACACAGTAACAAGAATGAAATCAAATTTCTAGTGTTTCGAAAAGTAACGTTTTCCGTTGCGGTACATAATGAGACACAGAGAAGTGATTTATACCAAGCACAGCTTTCTATTCAGCTTTCTCGGTTCTCGATCATTTTTCATTTCTCTTGTTCTCCGTAAAGATTGAAAAATTGTATAATTCATGTATCATACTTCAACTGAAGTTACACTAATTAAGCTGTTACGATCCATTCAGTTTCATCCCAATTAATTTCTCCTTTTTAGGTTAACAGTATTACAGAGTTGTTTTCGAACTAATGAATTTTAAATTACAACTAAAATTACATATTTTAATAAATTTCAAAGTTCGTGGCAGTTTATTAACGAACAAAGTAATAGTGCATCGCTTTATGAATTTTTGCTTGCCGGCGATCAATTTAATCAGTTCCACTTATTGCACGCATTTTCATTGCATCGGATAGGATCCCGAAATAATTGTAAATCCATGCTAAATAACAAGAAATTACATTATTTATTATACAACTATAAACTAATTATATTTATAGTATATAATTACATTAGATATTTTCCATGCTTTGTAGTTCCGTTTGTTCAGCAGACATAGAACATCTACGAAATCAATAATGACTTTACTCCATAGACTTCTTGTTACAGAAATAAAATAAAAATACAATGGGCCAACCAGCTGTTTTCAATCGTGATTTTATACGTAAGAGTTACAGAAAATAAGTAACAATTTTCTATATGTATAGTTTGCTGATTCCAAAAGCTTTTTATATGAGGAACAATTTTATAATATGTTACTTTTAATTTTCATTTTTGGATTGTATCATTAATTAATTTTGTAGACGTAGGGGAGTAGAAAATTCACAAAAATTTTAGTTCAAATTCTAGATTCGTGTATGACAAAACGATCGACGGTGCAAAGTACCACTTTCGAACCGATTAATTCCTACGCGATGAAACGAACAAAGGCTTTGGATCGACGGAATCGTGGGTGGATTTTAAGATGGCGAGCTTAACGAATTCGTGGGTGAAACTTGGCTAGATCAGTCATGGCGACGCGGCAAAGACAAACCGCGGTCGCAATCGTGGCGCCATAAATTACGGCCGCGTTGCGCGTTGAAGGCGATAAATGCGTAATTAAACGCGCGTGTCACGGACTATTTAAATCTTTGCAGGGATAGAAACGCCGATCGAACGTACCGTTTGATCTCGACCGGCGTAAATGTTTGCCGCGGTGCGTTCGATGCCCTCGCGTTCATCCGATCAATTGTAATGAGTTACAACATAATCAATGGTGCGGTCAAGAGCGACAGATTTACTTCCTTGTTAGAGTTTACGGAGATCTAGCAATTTCTGTCAAGCTGAGAGCATTCTAGAAACAACAGGCTAGTCATAGATCTCGCAATTAAACGCGTAGCAAACGTACGTGACTACTTTCCAAAGCACGATAGTTCATTTTCATTTTCTTCGTGTCTGACTCACGAGCTTTTATTTGTATCCTAGTTTGCTATAAATAAAAAATACTGAATTTCCTTTGCAAAACTGTTTCCTGATATGTTATCAACATTGTAGATACAGTTATAATAGATAGAGTAACGTATGCAGTCAGAAATTGAGTAGATTTAAAAACACAGACGTTAAAACTAGGAATATTGTAGATTTTGCACAAAGTCTATCGAGAATAAAGAAATATGTAATTTGCACTTACGGAATCATCGTCCTCCGAAACGATCGGCTCCGCCATCTTCCTTGGACTTCGGTTCGTTTTAAGAACACCAAACTTTCGAGTCACAGTTTCCCCATCACTGTTTCGTCACAATTTCCTCGCGAGTTTCAACCAACGTCACTATTGCTCGAGAAAATCGCACGAGCAAGAACGGGAAAAAATTGACAGGCGAGGAAAGTGCAAAAGAAAATCAGCAAATTAACCTCGCGATTCCGTTATATGCACCGATTTAGAGCAAGTCACCGCCATTCGAACACGATTAAACGTCACGTTTCAATTTCCTTTACAGTTAGATCAAAGCAGTTGCATTCCATCGCAAATATAAACAGCGTTGATTATTTTTATTGGAACAACCTATCGGCAATTACATCGCGATTAAAGGTATTATTAATTTCTTTCGCCGAGGCAACGAAGCTATATTCAATTACAAATAAAATGAATTACTCTTTTATGTTGAAGGAACGTACCTACAGCAGAGTGTAAGAGATTTTTCATACGTGTTTCGAAAACTATAACTGGTCAAGTTTGATCTAATATTTCTTGTAAAGTAGTATGTTATAATAAATAAACTAGCCTATTTTCTACAGCTTCCAGTCGTTTCAGTATCGTGATTTATGCAAGGTTGAATGTTCACGTATCGGAAATGTCGAACAGAATAACTAGAATCGGTTAATTACACGATAACACAGCTCGATATACATCTGATAAAGCGTGCAATATACTGATACTGTTGTCGACGAATGTAAAACTTTCTCGTGAAATTGCTGCCGTGTTAAATCAATCGGGAAACCCACAGTAAATGATCTAATTGCGAAATATTGTGTAGGACACGATATGAAAGATCGTTTACAAAGCGAATAGCCTTGAAATGCTAGAGAAAATTCTCCAGCGTCGAAATATTTTCAAAACATCTCTCATCGAATATTAATAATACTAATAATTAAATTAGGGTGGGGGAGAAGGCGATTACCTACTTAAAATTGTGTTTCTAAGAGAATTATCGTTTCCGGAAAAGAAAATAAAAAGTCTATCCAACCGAAGACTTTTCAACTATTTTATACTCTATTGCAAATATAAACAACTCGTCGACTTTCGGGGTTATATCTACGTTCAATCAATATTACACGCCACATTAACTTTCTGGTTAATTAGAACGACGCACTATATTTCAATTGCAAATAATAACCGGCTGAATTTCCGTTTCCTCTACGACGACGTTAGAACACGACTCGATGTAATGTTAACCGTAGTCACCGCGCGACTGAATTTAGAAGGTCGAACCGATTTCGATAAACCAGCGCGACCTCGAACATTGTTTTCGTCAATGGAAACAGGAAACTCGACGGGGCGAGCCTAGTATTTGGAATTCCTGCTCGGTAATTCCAGGAATTGCCTGTTTTTGTATATTTACAGGACGAGGATACCCGAACCAAGGAAGCCCTTTACAAGCATTCGTGAAGAATACTGAAAATCAATGATATATTCGTATCTCCTCTTTTAAAACTTTTACACTTTCAATAGAATTTTTCTAAAACTTGTATAATGATTTTATAGAAAAGTTTACTATTATTGCAATTAATTTTTATCATAGTGAACTATTAAGTGGGCGTAGGAGAAATTTTTACTTCTATAAATCGTATTATTTTTAATCATTTAACAAGCACGTACCTAAAAAAGGGAACCTTAGATAAAATTTCATCAAATTAAAAGAAATCGTAACTACTCGCGGATAGGTCAACTGTGATGATGTAAACCTACTATCCAGAGATATAAGAAACGAACTAATTAATTTCTACCAGTATGACGCGTCAATAAGTACTTACCCCACCTTTGCAGACTATCACCTAGAAGGACAAAAATCGGATAAAAAAAAGAAAAAAAGAGAAAGAAACTAAGCATATATTAGGTGGGTAATAATCGACAGCAAATGAAATTAAACTTTCCCACGTAATCGAACGAATCATCAGTGAAAACGAGCAAAAATTGTTTAATGAATTTACTCGCGTTCCACATCGTTTAACGTAAACGCAAAGAGGAAAAGGATGGAGCGATGGAAGAAATTGATCGTTCGCCACCAAGTAGTCTTGAGAATAAATTAATATATTTGAAATGAATATACGGTAGATACTGTCTCGCATCCCAGATTTTATGGCATCTCGTAACATCCCCCCCTCTCTTTTTCTCTCATTCCCTCGTCGATCACGTTCCTCGCGAATGCACGATCGCGAAAAGAAGAGATCCAACCGTCTTTATTCTCGGCTTCTCGGCCAGATCTTTATTTCTATATACACGTGCGCCAGACGAAATCTCTATTGCTTTAAATTAATTATCCGCGACTCGACGAACACTGGGGTATCGGCTACGTGAATTAAATAAAACGTATCGTCTATACTTCGGAGCTATTTACATTAAATACACACGCAGTCTGTCGTTCTCGCAGTCATTATCATTCACGCGCACGTTCAAACTGTCTCACCGTTCCCCTTATCTAACGAAACGTTCCAGATCCGATCGCCGGATACTACATACGTTGCGTACGACGAACAAAAAAAACCGTCCGTGTTTATTGCACATTTCTCGTTTCTATCAGGATAAAGAAGGGAATCGAACACGCAAGGACAGACTCGTCATCGCTCACGCACTCGATGCAGATATGTCGAAACTGATATAAGCCTTCCTTTACTCAGTCAGCGAGTTCATCGCCTCTCTCTTGAATGGGAGCTACATCGACACGCTCCTCCCCAAGAAAACTAGCCGCATCGGTTAATAAACGCAACCTCGAACTCGAAAATCCAAGAAATACGCGTCCATCTCCTCGTCGAAGAAACGATCATCATCTTACGCGGAACAATTAAACGCCTATCAGCTAACCGTAATCGAACCATTCGAGCGTCACTTTGCCCTTAAATCGGAGCCCCCTCGTGAAAAATCAAGAATCCCGGATTCACCAAGTCTGTCGGGGCAAACTATCAAAAGAGACTCTCGTTCCCCCAATCGAAACCGCAATACTACGCTACTCTAAAGTGTCTCCTCGTCCTCGACGACCGTCTCGTTGTTCTCGATAGTGTTCGTGACTGGCCAATCACTTCGTTGTCGTCCATCGTCAGGCTTCGTCGTAGAAAACGATCCCTTGGATTACTACGTCGTGGAGGGCGAAGTGGGCACAGAGATCGGCGACGTGGGGCTGCTGGACTCCCTTCCGTTCGTCAACGTGGGCGCCGAGGCTCTGCATTCGTTGTGGATGCCCGGTGTGCTGGTTCTGTTATTGCCCAACAGACTGTCGATGGAGAATGGGTTTAGTCTCTTTCTCTCCTCCCTGCCCTTCACGGACAGATCTATGCTACTGCTCTGAACCTCCTCCTCGCTGATCTGTTGCCTGACCGACGTTCTCTCGAAGCTGCTACCGTTGTTCGTTGTCTGATGCGTTCCACCCGCGTTGTTCATGTTCACCAGCTCCTTTCTGATCTCCAGAAGACTCAGGCTGTAGTGATGGATCCCTTGCTGGTGGTTCAGGTGATCCAGACTCAGGCTCGAGTTAGGATTCTGGAGGTTCCCGGCGACCTGGTTCGCGCTTCTTCGCGGATCGTTTTGCTCGCTGGAGTTGTTGGCTAGCCTGGGGTAGCATTCCCCGTCTATGGAACCGTCCGCGGCCGAGTCCACCCTTTCGCTGCCGCTCTCGCTGCAGGAGTCTAGCCCGCCCACGACGTCGATCTCCTCGTTGGCGTCGTTCCCGGACCCTGAAACGCTGCTGCTCTCGTTGTTGTTGCTCAAATGGCTGAAGGAACCTCCCAGGGTGCCGTTCAAGGCGCTTCCGCCGGACGCTGCGGCGCTTCGCGACTCCCACTCGGCTCGAAGCGTCGACAGATCGACGGTGATGCCCTAAAATCAGAACGTCGCGATCTTTGGTCCACGTTTTTCGAACGACGATAACGTCGAATCCAGTGGATTTATATTTACCATGCGTTACAATCAATTTCTCCGCCTTTCATAACCCCTATCGATAGGTACATCTTGAAAAACTGTCATTCGTTTACTTAAAATATTAAATAGCAATAAGATTTCTGAGGCCGTTGATTACGAATATTATTAGAACCGTTGAATTATTATCAATCAGCTGTAATTTAATACGTAAAGTTTAATAGAACGTTACTGGGAATATCTTGAAGTAGCTTTTTTTCTTTGTATAATCGTTACCGGTATCCCGATGGTCGACACTTTTACGAAAAACGACTCCGGGTCCTTACCTTTGCGGCTAATTTCCTCTGCTGTCGCTCAAGAGCTTTCAGCAGTTTCTTCTGCCGCCTTTCTCGCTCCTTTCTTCTTAGTTCTTCCGGTGGAATTGGTTCTCCGCTGCAGCTCTGCGGATGAGCGTTGTGCGCCGGCCTGCCCGGACCCTTCTTCGTGTGCTCCTTTTTCCTCCACTTCGCCCTTCGGTTCTGAAACCACACCTGGAACCAAGCAAATACAAACCTTTGTACCGCTTTATATCCCAGGAATGGTTTATCGGGAAATCAAGAAAACTGTAGTGTTCAAATCGTCCTAAAAAAATTATTTTTAAAAAAATTTTATAATCATATTCATTTTTATCACTTATCACGTTAATAACTTTGTAACGAAACCTCAATCAACAAATTGGTATTCTTAATTCTCGTCTTATTTTGGTCTTTAGAGTCTCCCATTAAAATTTTTCCCAGGGGTGGCTGAACACCCTCTATACAAATAAATTTCTTTAAGAATAGCTTTATCTTTAAAGACTAAATACTTTCTAAAATTGTTAAAAATTTATAATTATTCTTCTGCGAGTGTTTCAAGTATCGCTGGCTGAAGACAGATGCATGCGTTGGTTTAAAAAATAATAGTTGCGAAATTACTTTTTGTTTTGAATAATCGAAACCGCTTCCAAGGGTGGTACGATCGCAACAGTTAAATATCGAAATTACACGAAGGTGCCTACCCCACGCGGAAGGACCAACGACCCCCTGGAGTGTCTTGATTCATGGAGAGTTTCAACACTTTACCCTGCGCTCGCGTGAACGCTCGTGGCGTGAAGCACGATTTAGTGCTGGCGTGAATTTCACCACGCGACCGGCAGCGAAAGAAAGAAGGAAAGAGCCAAAAGGGGTTGAAAAGGTGGTTGAAAAGGATGAAGACATTAGTTGTGGCTGGAAGCCGGTATGCGGCGCTGTTCACACGCGAGCTACAGATCAATAGACCCACTCCAACCCTTGTAACACCGTCGTCGCGTCACGTGCCCGTGCGATTTCTTCATTTTCTTCTCTTCTTTACTTATTGCTTCCAAGGCGTAATGTGATTGAATCGGAAAAACATCAAATTGACGGGCGCGGAGCCGGGCATTTTTCAGTGAAACTGGCCAAGTTTGATGAAACTCCGCACGAAGCTTAATAGAACATGCACGTTACTTTATCGCGAATCTCACTCCTTTTTTTACCACGTTAACTACCGCGTAACTCACGCACGAACGATATAATCTATCGCTGTGGAACTGGAGAAATTAATTCCCACGATGTTAAAGAAAAGAAACGTGGAAAGGATTCGTGTAATATAAACAAATTTTTGCTTCGTAATCTGTCATTGTGCAACTAGCAACGAGTCTGATTCGTCGTGCAACTGTATTTTCCTAGATATAAGACGATTATTGTGATTAAACATTTGATTTTTGCAAGTAAATGAAATTGGATCAGGCTACTTGATGGAACTGCATCGATAAAACATTGTATGATTGCAATAAGTCACAGTCGCGAGTTTATCGTCGATTAAATGTCATTGCTAGGAATAACAAACAGTGGTAATTAGACGTGACGCATTCATTATTCAATTTTATTCGGACATACCGCTCGAGATAAAGTGTTGTTCATAAACTAAACATATTTTTCATCCCGAACAGCGATAAATTTAGATATGACGCATCGCACGGACAAACAGAACGTTCGTTCGTAATATTTCTAATGGCTACGATTTCACAGTCGAAATAATATAAGTTTTAAGAAACAAATTATCTCACACTCGCGATATTCTAATTTCCGACGAATGGTATGTACACATAGTTATATTAATTTCTGACAGAGCTGAGAAAGAGTGAGCAGTTAGAACGGTTAACAGCTGCAATAGATTAAGTTGACGACCGGGGAACGTAACTTCAGTATTATTACCACTATTCGTCAGGAATTATCGTCGACTGATAACGAACAAGCTATTCCACCGATTACTATGAACCCTCACCGAACGTGTAACAACTTTTTTCTACTCGTTAGGTTGCGAGCAAGCTGTTTTTTCAAGGAAAGTATCTGTATAATGTATGTATAGACAGAAAGGAAATATGGGACAACTGTTTTTTCGTGATTTTTAGGATTTTAAAATCCAACTTTTCCCACTACAGTGTTTATATGATTATTAATTCTTTCGATCCTTATTTTAAAAGTATAAATTTTGAGAAAGCTTAGAACGTTTTCCATGGGATGTTTTATGAAATGATTTGACAGACAACGTGTTGAAGACACAACGAATCGCTAATAACTTTTGTAGACTGGTCCAAAAGGACCAGTTTCGAAGTGACGTCGTTAGGATAGTGATCAATTGATTTTTAAGAAGCATCCCTGGTCCTTCCGCTCTCATTTCCCCTGTCGCCTCTACGTATTACTCGCGTGTATCGTTTTCGTCTTCGTTCTTGCGTCAAGGATGCGACGGGTACAAGGAGACAGGTTGTTCAGAGGTTTTCAGTAAATATGTTAATGACACGCAAGATCCACGAACGACGCGTGCAACGATCGACGATTAACAAGCACTGAACATGGCGGTTCATTTGAATATAAACGGAACCATGGTGGACGGGAAAATGGCGCTCGTGGAACACGCAGGATGCATTTAGCGCATTGAAATATGAGTTGAATTGGTTTCCCGTACGAGTCACGAAGATCAGTTGTAATTATCGTAAAATAGAATTAGTATGGGCGAACGTACTCTCATTTTTGTATTAGGTGACGATTAAAATAAAAATTAATTGATTCTAGATTTCTCTGTGATATCGAAAAATATAAATAGACTCTCGATCGTGAAATTAATGCTCGTACATTGCTTATTAATAACATTGAGATACCTCCTAAAATTTAATTTAATTTATTTCCATTACTATTTTTAAAAATACAGCTACTATAGTAAACAACGAATTATACAATTACTTCAAAAGGAAAGACCATGATCAGTTAAAATTATACAAAATTAGTGTAATTAAGAACCCAACCTCCATGATCGAAACTATAGTACAATTTTCACTGTATTTCGTTGGCAAGTGACTGATCAAACATGAAAATACTTACATATTTTCGCGTTTGCGTCGCGACGGAAACTACAATTGTACGATCACGGAAAATGACGAATCCTCCGCGATCGACGATCTGCTCTTTCTGTCTCGGGCTCCTTTGGCTTCCAGTTACCCGTGCCGAACCGTGTCATCGGTTTATCTCGGCGTGACAATATTTTTTAAAAGCCGCCGCCGCTAGCAACCGTGTGTCGCAGAGGTTATCTGACGCGGGGATCAACTATCTAATCTGAGGGCTATTCCCGTCCCCGACCCTTCGAGAAGACGCACCGGCTGCGTGACATCGTGTCACCACCAGCTCGGGTTATCTCCGAATCGGTCCTGTCACCAAGGTCACTCGCATTTCGGTCGCACAAAGGGGATTGGTGCCCGTTCGCTCGTACGGACTCTCCCGATCTGGGAAACGCGTATTGTCTCGGCCTCGCGCGGTGATTTCAACGCCTGGTTTCGCGTGTCGCGTCTCCTCCTACGATCCTCGCGTCGTTTGCTTAGGCACATTTCAAACAGCGTTTCGAAGCTTTCATAATCTAACATTTTATCAATTACAATTTTGTGTGTCATTTTAGGTCTCTAAAAATTGTAAACATCTTTTACCATATAGATCATCTTCCAGAAATAACAATTTTGCCCTCTTTTCGTTAAATTTGTATTTTCGTGATCGAAACTTGTTTCATTTTATAATTTTTATTCTATTTGTTTCTTACTTTATCGAGGAAATAATTTTAAGTCGTGTTCTAAACGAATTGAACAAGATGCAATCGAAATTTTAGCCAAATCAGTGCAGAACCTAATATTTCTATCATTTTGCATACATTTAATATCGTTATGTTAATGAATCAATCTAATGTTTAGAATATGTTTATACAAAGGGCTTGAATAATTTATTAAATAATATCCCTGAACTCTGTACCCTGCTGCTCATGCATTGCTTATCTCTGTGATACCGAAGCACTACCCCTTAATTATTTAATTCGTAACGAACGTTCCTAACGACTCAAGTGCCAAGATAACTGGAACATCTCCATTGCAATGAAGTAAATTATATTTAAAATAATATTCGTACGTAGAAACGCTCATTTTGAGATTGTATCTGTGGAAAGTGAGCAATATACCCCGACACATGGCACCTGAAGCGTGTCTAAGCACATAAATATAAATATCTTATCGCAAGGAGAGAATATGAGGGTGGCCTCGTGTTCGATCTGCCGTGAAATTGAGGGTCCACCATTCGTTGGACCTATAGAAGGACACCATCATGTCATGTTTCCGTGTCCATTGTAGGGTTTCGAGAGACCGGAAAGGGTAGATATTTCACGTATTTATAGTTACAAGTCTGTATCTATTCAATATTAAAAAGTGGATGTTCCTTGTGATCTTCGTGGAGACCAAATTGCTTCAAATCGTCAACAGAAGGAAAATTTACCAGAAATAAAATTCTGATACTAGAAACGAAGTATCATTTATGATCTCTCCTTCATAAAAATTACAATTCTTATAATTTATATTAACACAGTATTATTTGTATACTCCTTCGTAGAAATTAAATTTCTCTACATTTTCGACCGAGTTATAATTTACTGTGTGCGTTAACATATTATACAACGAGTTTAATTGAAAAGGTATGATTTATTGCTCAAATGAAATTTATAACCCTTCGTAATGTTTAAGATTTATCGTTTCGCTAATCTATTATCTTACTAGCATCTAGCCTTTGAAGTTTTTAAATTTCAGGAAGCAAGCAATAAATCCCAAACTTTATCCTTTCACATATCTACTGGAAATAAGCTACGTGTTGTAACAAATAGATTTAATTTCACGATGTATTCGCTTCGGTGCTACGTTTGCGGTTAAACACACAAGAATCAAACGATCGAGGGTTTAATAATACTGTAAGAAATCGCCGTGTACGAGTTTAAAAAATACAACCTGTCAATTAAGAACAGAGGCGTTGCTGTTTATTTAAGAAACGAGCGCCAGTCGTGGAAACGATATTAAAACATGATCTTTCGAAGTTGCATGCAACTGCACACGAGTTTCACGAAAAACCATTCGCGTGGTTCGTTGATATATCAGTCGGTAGGGCTTCCGGAAGAATAAATTCAGAGTAATATCACTTAATTTTATTTTATTCCGTGAAATATGAGACGTGCGCGGTACGTGTTAAAGAAAAAGGTCTTGCCGTGATAACATTGAAACGTTTTCCCGCGGAATCGATTTCCTGCAAGTGACAAATTACTCCTGCTCACGGAATTGTGTACCTTTGCCTACGCCACGGTCAATAATTCGAAAAACAACCTAAAAAACGATCGGAGATTTTTAAACGAACGTCAAATATTTACTTTCGAGATTGCATAATGGTGAAAGTTTACGAAGTTTACAAAGTAGAGATTAAGGGTCAAGCATGGCAATCCAAAATTGCTAAGAAAATTATATTTTCCGCTACCATTTACAAATGCGAAATTCAACAATTTCTTTTCTACATTTCTCGCTCTTGTGCTTTAAAATTCCACGCCATCTAATCCGTCGGTCGCAGAAAACGCTGGGTTTTCTGCGTTTCATTACAAGCTCTTCCACTCCCTTCCCCAGAAAAGGAAACACAGCGAGGGAACGATGTCCAAATAAAATGCCCTTCATTATTCAAATGGGTACGGTCGATGAGTCGAAGGTACCGGTCTCGAGATAGATCTTCCTCGGTTTATTACTCTCGAACACATTCGAACGGGGCAGGTTCGGCTTCTCCTAAGTTAACCGCATTCAAAACGGAGCAGATGGACTAACTACCCCCGTGAGAGTAGCCCGAGAGCCGAAGGCCCGAGACCGAACCACCCCCGACGTCTGTCGGGCATCAACCCTCGAAAAATGACGACGAAGTCGCTATAAATTCCCGCCTATCGGAACGACCGATCTGGGATGTCAGATAAAACTACACGGTACGTGAAATCAGGTAGCAATAAAACTGCATTTTTTGCGTTTGCATCTCTATTCGGGGCGAGATTGTGGAACGAGGACCGATAATTACACGGTGTCGCGACGCGTTGATTGAATACGATTGCACGGTCTACGGGGTTTCTATTTTTTTTTCTTTCTTAATGACCCGTACGAATCAGTGTGTTTTATTTTCTGGAAAAACATAAAAAAAGTTCTGCTATATTAAACGCAGTTATTAAAGTCTCTGGCCTCGAAATATACTGTTAGATCTTAATAGAAGTAAACTTAAGGGATTATTTCTTTGATATTAAATTTGTATTCTGTAATAATCATATTTTGTATACGAAAGAAGGCCCAAAATAAGGGTAAATAAATACACTACATTTTCTGTAATATTTGTTTGAAAGTCAGTGTATACACTTATAATTTAAATTACATTATTTTCTTCGAAGAAGCTAACATCATTGCTGACAATGATCTTGTGCCACTCGTCAGGCAACATTTCCAACGAGCTTTACAGTTTTGCATTTTCACAGAGAAAAAAAAATATAAAGTTCTGCTAAATAAGAATCTTCAGTGTCTCATTTAGCAGTTTAATTTTCTTTTTCGTCATGAGCGTTAACGTTCTGCCATTCGCTAGACGTCACCAGAGGATTATCTTCATATATTTGCGATTAAAGGTTTATAAAGATGTGAAAATAATGTACTCACGGCGACGCGGCTCTCTTTCAGCTCGAGTCTCACAGCCAGAGAATCTCGCATAAAGACGTCGGGATAATGATTCGTGAGAAATGCCCGTTCCAATTCCTCCAATTGCCAACTATTAAAGTTGGTCCTGCTCCTTCGCCTCTTGCTTCCACCTTCGTCGGATTCCCCGTCGCAACCTGCAATAATAAAGACGTTTTAATCTTAAAAAACCTGCGCCGGTTTCGCGAAAGATTCAATTATTTCTTCAAACTTCTTTCCATCGCATACAAATTCAAACTAATTATTTATAATTTCAAAAGCAAGTTCATTTTAGCAGTAATTACTGCGATGTCTCTTCTTAATAAGAATATACAGAAAATTTGTTAACGAAACCAAAGAATTTTATATCCAATGGAAGAAATATCACAGGATAGAAAGAGTAACCTCCTGGACTGTTAATTGCTAAAATCTAAAGTCTGTTTTAACCCTTTCTGATAATTCAGTAATCTCAAATTTTATTATACTTTAGAATACTCTCGTGTATTATTTACCTGTGTTTCGAATGAACGACCTAAGAGAATAAATTGTTGCAAACGAGTAACGATTCGTCGACCTAATAAAATGTTGGTTAAATTCCCATAAACTGATACGTGATTAATGAATTCAGTTTACCAACCCCTTTGAAACTGGATCTGATCATGCATGAAGGCAGAAGCACGCGAAGATCGAAAGCTTATCGCAGCAAAAATTGTTCGATCCACGGTATCATTCACCCCAATCGCCTCATCGTAGATAAGGCTAGGAAACTGAATCCCGGCATATTGAATAAACATGGAATTTCAGTGATTTTACGAGGGCGGTCGTCTACCCTCTTTGGTATCTGAAGCAAGAATCTGCGGATCCACGATTGTTTTGGCAGACTCGTTCACGGAATACACGCAGATAAGTATGCTAATACAGGCCGGCGGAATTGAAAAAAGATCGGCAATTATGATTGACCCTGCAATAGAGGCAGCCGTTGCCCGAATCTTGGCATGAAATAGCACAATATGAAACATTCCCCGTAGTCGAGATTGTGGAAAAAGAACAGATTGTTGACTTCTAAACGAAGATTTAATTTTCCTCTCCAATTGCATTCCGTTGCTATACAACTTTATATATATATTGCATATAATATTTAAATGCATGTAAGTACGATGCTTAATATGCATACAGATTGTAAAATATGGATCTCACATGAATCCAATGGCGAGGAATTTTTTTAAATTATTCTTTCTTGGCTTAGAATACATACGTGTCTATTAACTGTTAATTGTCCATTTACTGGTGAAACGATTAAACTTTTCCGGAAGACACGTGACTAGGATCCATCGTAGATCGACATAATGGCACTCAAAACATTCACCCTGAGTTGACGGAAGGTATTAACGCATTTCCTGGCAGATCGAGCACCTTGACGCGGTGAATTTTTCCCCGTTCCCGATCGCGGCGCGTTATTATCACAGGAAACGACTATCAAATCTGATAGATGATACAGGTAGCATGTTAAATAATTTATGAGGGAACGAGTTAAACAATTTTCACGTCCGGCATGATCGACGACCAACTCAATCTATTTTCCCCGCGGAATAAACGTTTTCGCGGAGGAAGTCAATCTTGTCCCGATAATGCAGCCACCGCATAATGAACCTGACATGATGATAATGATTCGCTTAATTCCGCGGTTGAAGCGTGATACCATCGGACACAATGATCCCCGACTTTCCGTAAAACTATCTCTCTGTTTATCTAATACCGAGAACACGCGACGGTTTATTGATCGATTATCGAAAGAAAATAGCTACTCGGTTCATCGCCGTGGACGCATAATAGGAGAGAAAATTTATTCTCGCGTGTGCTGTTAGAGATTCCTGCTTCCATGACTAATGAAACTTGTTTCAAGCTCTTTGAACTTTCGTAAATTGTGAAGGTAATCCATTCCAGTTGTTTCGTACCGTTCAACAGTTTTGCGTTTATGTTTTATGTAAATATTAAGTTTTATAAATTTCGTCTATAATACAAAACAACAATATAGATTCCATTTGCATTCATCGCGTTATCTAAGAACAGAACAGAATCTTTCAATGCGTTAAATTATATTTTAATTAATTTCGTTATCATATCCGAGCAACAGTTTTCACGAGCCTCTATTTTCTCGTGTTACCTTCACGATCAGCAATAAGCATAGCTTCTTTCTTAATGCTTCGAAACATTAATGTCGAGTCCAAAGACACAACTTAGTTTCTGTGTCAGATGACTCATAAAATTTTCTTTATCGCCTTTGACGCGATAAATTAGTATGACATGCAATACTGAAACTAATCAGTAGAAGCGATATCTTAGAATAGAATTAATTATCTAAACGTAAGTGAACAGAAGCAGCAAAAACTGGACAAACGATTCGTTCGAAAAGATAAGTCACGCTAACATTTTAGTTTCGAATTTCGAAGGAATTTTTTAATTCGATATACTTTACACTTTAAAACTGAAGGGAGCTCTAAACTTTTGAGTGGCAGTTTTATTTACAAGATTTTCCAATTAGAACCTAAACCAAATGTCAAAACATTGACAAGTTACACGTGCATTGTTAAAATTGATACCAACCGGAGGTCTATCGAAAAGGTTCGCAAAACCGCGTCGAACGCGGTCAAACTCCGTTTTGTGATCCGTAATTACACCCTGACACATGCTGTAATTTGCGAACATTTTGGATAACTTTGCTATAATTCGGTTTATTAGTCCTGGAAGGAAAGGTGTGTCTCAACGAGGCCGTAAATTACTATGAAACGCGAAAGATCGTTGTCTGGCGGGCCGATCGAGGTAATTGTAAATGTCGAGGGTTTATTAAGGAAGCGTATACATCGGTCGGAGCGTCCTTGATCGAGTGTGTCGCGGTTTTTGCGCCATTTTGTGATTCTACGTATCAGGAGTCTGAAAAAGACGCCGCGTTACACGGCGATTTGTACTCGTAGATTTATTCACATTGAATCAGCCGGTTTTTCTGACGTTTCGCGCAACCCGAACGAAGACATTTTGAACAACCGACGCGGCCGTGGTTGGAAATTGCTTCTCACAGTGCAGGGACAATTAGTTTAAACACCACCTCCGACGTAGTTCTTCGCCGGTACCGATGGAAAAGATGAATTCGAGCGAACAGCGGCCCTCCTATCGTGATAAATTACCCGCGTATTAAAATTATGTTGGCGCCGAGGGTAATTTGTATTCAGAATCCGTCACGAGGCGAGCAAAGTCGTCATTACGGAAACCAGCCGGCCGCTTACGAAGTTTCCTGTGACAAACATACGCATTACGGTTCCTACGGGATTTTTACGCCTAGCAGGATCTTCTTCCGTGCCTTATCTTTATCCGTAGTTCCGCGGCTTTTCGTTCCCCCGAGAAATTACGCCTTGCCGGACTGATCGTACGCGAAAAGCGCGACTATGTTGTTATTGCCGTTTGATCCCAAATTGTCGGCAACGGATACAACGATCGGAGTGTTAATAGTCGAGGAACACGCAATGGCGTGCAAACCCATCGGTTGCCAACATTTTTGCATCCCGATCCGCGAGGAAGGAAGCCATTGTGATCGAAACAAATTTGGAAAATTTTCTTGACACGTTATCAATTCTTTGGACGATTGTAACTTCGTAAAAAGAAGTTCTACAATAGTTTTTTTGAGGTCACTTTGATCCTCAATTGTTATATCCATTCATATTTATTAAATGAGGCAATGCAATTAATTTATGGTAATGATAGATATATCAGCTTATAGAGATGTGTAAAATTTGTATTCAGATACAGATTATAGAAGAAGAAGAAAAAAGAAATGTTTATCCGATACACTCGTTGACCAAAAGATTGGCTATAGCCTTTAACGAGCCTTCGAGTCAGTTATTTATAATTTGTTTTCCTCTGGAATAATCAGTCGACTTATCTTTCACTTCTATTTCTAGAACAAGCTTTCCCCTGGAAAATAAACCGGATTAGTTAAATAGTTACATTGACAGTCGTTATTGTGAACTTATTGCCGAAACCAGTTGACGCGGTATGCAAATTCTAACACTGAAACGAATATCGTGAGAAAACTAGTTTGAGGGCCAAAATAAAAATTTAAATAAAAACACGACTACTAACTATATTGTATCGGAATCTATATTTTTTTTTTATACTGGATGCAGAAGAAAATAACTTTAATTGAAACCAGGGTTGTAAAAATGTTGGCCATTAAAATTCACAGTTATGAAAAAGAATTTTTCAAACGATCTAATGGGATTGGATACAAAATTAGGTATTAAATTCCAGCAATTAAATGCGACGGAGCTAACATTATATGACCTTTATTTCTATTTGACGAGGTCGTAAAAAGTGCTGACCATAAAAATATAGTGGAAGAGATACGTTTCTCGATTAAAGAGAAATATGCCGCCTTATTAAATTTTCTAACGTGATAGTGACTTTAAACACACCCTAAGGTGTGAATGATTGGTTACATCTTCCAACCCTTAAAGCAGGCTAGATATTTTTATAGTCGTGGGTACATATCAGGAAATTTTCAAACTATCAAATTAATGTGAAATGTACATATTGAAAATAAAATTTATCTACCAAACCGATTTCAAAGTTAATTTTAGTAACGGGATATTGAAAATTGATCGAATCTGGAAACTAACGTTCGCGAGATGTATATTTAGCTAACAAATCGCGGCGAATACAAATTACTTTCGGCCCAAACACGATTCGGTGCCAGCCGCCATTTATTGCGTCGGGTCATCTGATTTGCACGTCCGTGTCGTGACCCTGCAGGTATTCTCATCGGAGCCTTTTTGTCCAATTAAAATGTACCAATCGACGATAATGTTTGAGAATCGACCGTGTCGTCGTTGACGTGGTCGAGGAGGTAGGAAAGAAATCATCCGACCGCGCATTAATCAGCGTAATTAGACGCTATTTATCCGGCAGTTACCTCCGTCTCTCTCTCCCTCGCTCGCCGTGAGTTGACCAATCGAGACCACGATGGATATCGATCGGTCCGCTCATTATTGATAATCTATACTCCATAATATACAACCGATCCAGCTGTACACGGTGGCAGGTTGAAGGATTATCTTCCCCTTACCAATAAAGGTCAGTTTCTGCCTTCCGGAACATCGAAATTTAG